ATACATTTTGATGTACTACAATCTTACCTAATAAAATTAATTATATTGTTGACTCCAAACGTTAAACACTTACCGGGTAAACATTCTGGTAAACGACCCTTAGAGAATTTTCCAAAAATGATTATAATGAGAGAGAAACATTTTTTTTATTATAATTTTAACCAATAGAAATCTTTGATGCAAAAGGCTTCTAATAAGGAAATAATATACATATACAAGTTAATTTAATAATAATCAATGTTTTAGGGGTCATTTACTAAACTTTTACTCGGGTAAATGAACATCAAGTCACATTACCTTACTGGATGAATATGGTAATGACAAAAAAAAATTATCTGGTAAGAGCGAGAGTCTTACCCGATAAGCGATGGCAACGATTCTTACCACGATAACAGTCTATCAGGTAATTTGGTGCATATGATACGTTTTAGTGGATTAAAATTTTATCCGATAAATAATGATAGTGTTAAATTTTCCCTGTAAACGCTTATCTAGTTTTTTATATCTTAAAAATAATATATAAAATTGTGAGCATCTAAGTTATGATATCAATATTTTGATAAATTCAAAATCCTTAGATAAGCAATCAATGCTTTCATGTGGATGTGCAATTTCTCAAATATTAATAGGCTTAGCATCAAAAGAGTGACAACCATTATTAAAATAATGTCAAAAAATAATAAAAAAATGATTTTTGTTCTTCTAAATATTATTTTAGTAACATCTATTTGATGTTCTGACAGTCTGTGATCGAAATTTTTACAGAATTTTAAGGTCTGTCTCAACTCGGAACTGATTATATTGAACGGATTTTCAATTCCTTTTAAAGTCTTTACTAAGTACTAGAAATGTACACGTGTAATGCAGCGAGATACATCTCTCTGGATATAATATGTTTTATGTATTTTGAGAAAACAATAATGGTTTTATTTTCGAATAAAGTAAAAAAATATGAAGAAGATATCATAAAAAAGATCAAAATACCCCTGAACTAACGGATGAGAGTTTACTGTCGTTAGTGTCAGGGACCAATATGTTACGAAAACACACACCCTGGGGCTATTTTTGAATAAGCAAATCATGGGGACTAAATCCAAAAAAAAAAAATGTAACCACATGGACCAAAATCTTAATTTAGTTTATAATATTTTTATAAAAATAATAGTTAAGTATTCTTTTAAAACTTAAATATTATCTTAATTATATTTTAGATTTTTTATATTTAAAATGAGATGTTTATCTGTTTTTGATTATGTTTATTGCAATTAATTACACAGACTTAAAGATGAAGCTTTAATAAGTTGTACTTACGTATAAATTACTTGTAATATTGAATTTTAAGTAATATGCATCAATAAACAATACTTCATACATAAAAAATAATTTTTAATAGTTTTTGTCGAATCCTTTATAATATAGTATAAATGATACAAGTTTTTAAATATTTTTTATAATATTTTCAAATGCTTTAAGTATATATATTATTTAAAATATATTTCAATCCTAAATTTCAAAATTTGTAATTAAAAAAACATTTAAGAACATTTTTATGTAAATATATTTTAAAAAGAATATTTAAAAAACGGGCCATACCCGGGGATTGTTATCGGGCCTAGAATCACTCATATGATTTATAGTCGGGACCAAAATCGATCGACCATAAGTGTTTCAATACTAAATTTCAAAAATCGTAATTACAGAAACATTTACAATATTTTTGTGTAAAAAAGATTTGAAAAAATATTTAAAGTATATTTTAATGATCCAGTTATGAATTTTAAAGTGTATTTCAATAAGATAATATATAGGAAATAAATAAAATCTTCAAATAAGATTTTTTATATGTTTATTAATGTTTGGGGGAAAAAAGTTGGAACTATTTGGGCCCGACCCGACACAGTGACCGGTTCTCGGGACCAGACTTTGTAAATGGAGAATACACCAGGTGTTTTTTATCAGGACCGCTTACAATGGAACCAGTTACAAAAGAAAATTATTGGACGCCCGACGGTACCGATTTGGACCTAATCCAAAACCGATTTTTGACAATATAAACCGAACCACAATTGGGCTTTCATCAAGCCAGTCCAAGAAGTGCAATTGTCCATTATAGGCTAACGAGCTTGACTACCATTTAAGTTAAACTGTATTTCAACGTTAAATTTCAAAATTTGCAATTAAAAAAATACTAACAATTATATATATACTAGTTG